TATAAGAAATTATCTAATTGTTTTAATATATTTTTACCAGATGAAGAAGCAGATGACATAACCAGTATTTGGATAGCAAAACAAAGTGATAACACAGTAAGCCTTGTGTAGAATGTCTGTTTTAGACTAATATCTATCAATATTGCTGATGCACCTATATGATTTGTATCATAAAAGGGCACAACAGTTTTAACCATGGGGGAGGGGGAGGGAAAATTTTCGGTTTTGACAATTTTCACTYCTTTTTATAGCATTTTTTGTACCAMCATTTTCATTTATTTTGTTCATGAGAAAGGAAATGACTAACATGTTAAACAATTTCAATCACCAATAGTCAACTTTAGATATTTTGGTTCAATGACTATGTACAAAAGAACGCACACGAGGCTCCGGGGAAACAATGGATAATCTTGATTTATTCTTTTATTTGCCCGGAGCCTCGTCTGCAATTCTTTTGTGCATGGTCACTGAACCAAAATATCTAAAGTCGACTATTTGCTTAACTGCATATTATGGYGAATTTAAGGTTGTAGATCAAAAGAAACTTCAAAAAGCAGAAGCAAAGTTAAAAGCAAAGCAGGAGAAGAGAGARGAAAAGGAGGACAGAAAGACACCTACTAATATGTAAGCTGTTTAGTAATGTAGCCAAAACACTSAGTTCTCAAAAATTATTGTGCATTCATTTTGTGCACGAAATTTTTAGCCAACTAAATTTAGCTGCAACGGTGTATGAAASCTATGATACACCCGCTTTTAAACTCCATCTATAACATTTTATAAAATTTTTAATATATCACATGCACTCTGATTAATTGGATGGCAACCGTGTTTAAATCAGAGGACAGAGACACGGCTTACTGGCAAAATTTGTTTTTCGCTCGAAAAACGCAGAAACATTTTATAAAAGAACTATAAAACGGCCGCTTGTCTCTGTCCTCTGGTACAAACATGGTGGGAGCGAAAGAGCACTTAAATGTTTTTTATAAAGAAAATAATTTGAAACTCAGGTACCTAGATTTAGACTTTTAAAATAAGTGCATAATGCAAAATTTGTTTTTCGCTCGAAAAACGCAGAAACATTTTATAAAAGAACTATAAAACGGCCGCTTGTCTCTGTCCTCTGGTACAAACATGGTGGGAGCTAAAGAGCACTTAAATGTTTTTTATAAAGAAAATAATTTGACACTCAGGTACCTAGAAATAAGTGCATAATGTGTAATTCTCTAATATTAAATGTTTCACTGTACCATTTAGTGCCTCGACACATTGGTGACAAAAAATGTTATTTTGTCTGATATATATAATGATAACAACTGTTTGTAATCATTGTTATTGCTAGTGAAATGGATGGTGCTACTGCCAGTCAAAGTGCAAATAGAAGAGAAGCAAAGCTTGAAGCCAGTGGCACAAACAAGTCAAGAGATATTAAAATAGAGAACTTTGATCTTGCTTATGGAGAAAGGTTTGTTAGATATGCATCTGTCTGATCTGTTTTATTGTTTGTTGGTTGATTGGTTGGTTATAAACTTCTATGCATG